CAGGAAGACTTTCGTCCAGAATGTTTTGGGAGACTCCCACATGCTCAGCTGGATGGGTAAGGTCTCATCCTCTTGTCTTGAACTGTCAGAGGGGGTGTCCTGAGAGTTTCCAAACAGAGCTCTTCTCACTTTGGGGGAATCAGCTTCTCTGTGCCTTGAGGTGACCTCAGCCTCCTGATCAACAACTGCTGAGGTTCCTTTACATTCAGAACAGTTTGGTCGGTCAGAACTTGGCTCATTTGAGGTATCATCCCCGGAAACTGGAGGTTTCTCTGATTGGGATGGAATGATCCCCACAGGTATCTGCTGTATTGTCTCTCTTTCAGGTCCATGTCTTTTTTCTCTGTTCTGTTCCTCAATGATTGATGTCTCTGTCTTTCCTTCCAAATTGACAGGAGCAGGAAGCCAACCAACTGAAGACAGGGTTGGTTGCTTTGTCTCTCCAGCATTTCTCTCCCTATCAGGTACTGTCTCTGGCAGGGTCAGAACCCGTGTCTCAATAAGGTCAGTGTTCAGTGCCTCTCCAGGTAAGTAGCAATAGTAGTCACTGTCTTCTGACTCTGAATCACCATCTGCCACTTCAGATCCGGCTGTGACTTCCATTCTCGACTGTCTCCTTGTTCTGGGTTTGCTGATAGTCTGCTTTGGAGATTGTTCGGACACAGCCACAGGTAAGAATCCACACGGCAGCAAGAGGTCACGGTGTAAAGTGCGAAGTGGTCCATCTTTCCCTTCTGATTTAACAGTGTACACAGGTAGGTCACCAGCACGTTTAACCACTATGTGAACGTCTGGTTCCCATTTATCGGCCAACTTGTGTTTCCCCCTTATTCGAACATTCCTCACAAGGACACGATCTCCTGTTTCAAGAGTGGACTCAACAACTCTCCTGTCAAACCGCTGTTTGTTACGCTCAGCTGTCTTTGAGGCATTCTCTGTGGCGACTCGGTAGCTTTCCTCTAGGCGGCCCTTTAAGTCATGCACATATTGGGAATGTGACTTGGGTTCACGGCTGGAAGGTAGACCAAACGCCAAATCAACTGGAAGCCGGGGTTGTCTGCCGAACATTAGTTCGTAGGGACTGAATCCGGTCACGTCATTCCGTGTGCAGTTATAAGCATGCACCAGAGGCTTGACAAACTCCCTCCAATGAGACTTGTCCTTATTTTCCAGAGTGCCCAACATCTGGAGTAGGGTCCTATTGAATCTCTCCACTGGATTCCCCCTGGGGTGGTAAGGGGTAGTCCTGACTTTTTGAATGCCAGCGATGGAGCACAGTTCTTTTATGGTGCGAGATTCAAAATCTGGACCCTGGTCACTCAGAAGCTTTTCCGGAAACCCATAATGCACCAGAAAGTTTTCCCATAAACACTTAGCCACAGTCTGCGCCTTTTGGTTTCGAGTTGGAATGGCGACTGCGTACTTAGTGAAATGGTCTGTCAGTACCAATATGTCTTTTGTGTTGCTCCGATCAGGCTCCACTGATAGAAAGTCCATGCAGACCAGCTCCAAGGGCCTGCTGGCCTTGATGTTACACAAGGGAGCTGCTCTCTCGTTTGGAGTCTTTCGGCGCACACAACGTTCACACGTCTTGATCTTTTGCTCTACATACGTTGATATTCTAGGCCAGTAGAATCGTGACCTCACAAGGTCGAGGGTCCGCTCCATGCCTAGATGACCTAGATCATCATGTAAGCCTTTCAGTGCTGTGGCTATAAGTTCAGCTGGTAGAACAAGCTGATGTGTGACTCGTCCATTTTCTTGCCGTGCCCTGTATAACACTCCATCTCTCAGCTCTAGGCGCTTCCACTCTCGGAGCCACAAAACAAGCTCTGGAAACTCTTGTCTCAGGGTGGGTGAGGGCATGTCTCCAGACTCCTTGTGCTCGATGACCACTCTGAGATCAGGATCGGCTCGTTGCTTTGCCCTCATCTCCTCTTCAGTCCAATGACCAATTACAGGGAGTCCATGATCATCTTCCTGCTGGAAACCACTGGGCAGAGCATCAGAATGGATGGCAAGAGACTCAACAAGTGTGACTGATGGACATGTGGAGGTTTTGTGAGACCACTCAACATCATGTCTCTCACATATGGCCTTCACTGCATCTGGAAGAACAACATCTGGAGTCTCCTGATCCTTCAGGTAGTGTAGAGTGAACTGTTCAATCCTTTCACGTTCTTTCCTTGACACAGCATCATCCTGGAGCTCCCCATGTGGTCGACGAGAGAGTCCATCTGCATCTTGATTCTGAGTTCCTGCCCTATACTGGAGCTTGAAGTTGTATGTTGACAGAGCGGACAGCCACCTGTAACTTGTGGCATCCAACTTTGCGGAGGTCAGGATGTAGGTTAAGGGATTACTGTCAGTGACAACAGTGAAGTCAGTACCGTACAAGTAATCACTAAACTTAGCAGTGACAGCCCACTTTAAAGCGAGAAATTCCAGTTTATGGGCAGGGTATTTTGCCTCACTCTTCGTCAATCCTCTGCTTGCGAAAGCAATAGCCCTCATCCGTCCGTCTTGTTCTTGATACAAGGCTGCACCAAGCCCTGTCGTACTTGCGTCAGTATGAAGGACGTATGGGAGTTTGGGGTCTGCAAATCCTAAGACAGGTGCGGTGGTGAGCTTGTCAATGACCTCCTCGAACGCTCTTTGACAATCTGAAGTCCACCTCTTCCCAAAGGATTCCTTCGGATGGAAGTACAGGTGAGTTTTTTCTCTTCCTTGACTGTTTTTCCTGAGAGGTGGGTACCCTGCTGTGAGGTCGTTTAGAGGTTTGGTGATCTTTGAATAGTCTTTCACAAACCGTCTATAGTACCCAGAAAAGCCCAGGAAGGAGCGCAGCTGCTTGAGATTCTCGGGTACTGGCCAGGTCTTTAAGGCTTCAATCTTCTGTGGGTCTGTCTCAACTCCATGCTGGGAGACAATATGACCAAGATACTTAACGGAGGTTTGGAAAAATTTACATTTTTCTGGTGATAGTTTTAACCCATACTCTTTAATACGGTTAAGGACCTGTAGTAATCTTGATTCATGTTGTTCCAGGGTGTCTGAAAAGATTATGAGATCGTCGATGAAGACCAGGGCCTCTTTGCGGTTGAGATCTCCCACACATCTCTCCATCAGTCGCTGGAACGTACTTGGCGCGTTAGTAACCCCCCTGTGGCATTCTATTAAATTCCCAGAAGCCCAGGGGGCACACAAACGCAGTCTTCTGTTTATCAGCCTCTTCCATTTCGACTTGGTAATAGCCCGATTTTAAATCAAGGACTGAGAACCATTTTGAGCCAGTCAAGAGGGAGAACACTTCCTCCAAGTTTGGCAGGGCATAAGCATCTCTTATGGTTTGTGAGTTGAGTTTCCTGAAGTCGATGCACAGCCTCACAGAACCATTTTTCTTCCGCACGACAACAATGGGAGATGCAAAGGGGGACTCAGACTCACGTATGACGCCAGAATCTAGCAGCTCTTGAAGATGTTTCTTAACTGCATCTACATCGTGTGGATGGATGGGTCTGGGTCGGTGCTTGAAAGGAGTGTTGTCACTCAGCTTGATGTGATGTTTTACTTTGTTGGTATGACCAAAGTCCATGTCATGCTGAGAAAAGACTTCAGGCATGTTATTGAGCAGCCTTGTGATTTGCTCTTTCCACTCTGGTGATAAAGGGAATCCCCAAAATCAAACTCCATCCCTTTGGTTTCAGGAGCGGTCAAATCAGTGGAGGGCTCCTTTCCCATCACCTGTTGAACGGCGTGAATCTCAGCCAACACTGTCCTCGGAGGGATGGTAATGTCATGTTGAGTCTCATTCCTCAGCAGAATTGACATTGAGCAAGGGCGCTTGACAGGTAAGGTGCACAGGGAGCTAGCAACCAGCAATCCGCCAGGAAGGGAAGACACAGATGCGGCCTCTACAACTGCCCACTTATCCTGGTGAGCACCACTCATGTGGACATGCCCTTCCACAACGACTGTGCTGCCCGCTGGCACCACTTTGGGGTTGTTGCTTCGCGCCTTGATCAGCCCAAGAGCTCCAGTACTTGCCTGCTTTTCCCGTACTTCCAGGATTTTCAAAACTACTCTGTAGCCAGGAAGGAATGACTGAGGACGACAATCATACTTTTCAACATAGCTGGAGTAGAGGACGTCTAGTGAATTGGTGCCGATGAGGATTTGAGGCACACTGTTCACATCAGGGACAACCAACACTAACGTAGGGACTTCAGTCTCTTTTCCCAAAAACTCCTCTGGAAACAACAGGTTGAGTTCTACGTACCCAAGGTAAGGCACAGCCTCTCCGTTGGCTCCCTCTACTTGCAGCTCTACATCCAAAAGATCGTCCAAGGATTTCAAAGGATGATGGGACAGGTGAGTCTGGAAAAATGACAGTGGGATAGTGGTCACCTGAGATCCCGTGTCTAGTAGACAGTTAACTTTGTGGCCTTCAATAGTGACTTGAGCAGTGCATTTTGTTCCGACCAGCTTGGGCGGCAGTATGGTGGAGGTGGTGTTAGCTTTACCACACTTGCTGGCCACTTGCTTTGGATTTCTAGGGCGTTTAGTTGGTCTTTTAGTCCCTGTTTGCCCTGCAACAGGGGCTTCTAGTAGTTTAACTGCTGGATGCCAGGACTGCCACTTTGCTGATCCCATTGCCGTTGTTTCTCTCTGAGCAGCTGTCTCTTTTCCTCGACGAGAAGGGGATTAGGTTCACTCTCACAGTTGACTGCCAGGTGAGCGTCTCCACCGCAGCGGAAGCAGTACCATGGACGGGGCCTACTGTGTGCTGGTGGCCCTGAACTGAGTTAGTTTGAGTTAACCCATTAACAATAACTGAATTACGAACATTTATCTTTTCACCTTCCACTATATCCATTATACTATATTGCTTCTTACCCTTCTACTCTTGTCACTCAATAATACTCCACTTTCTCCTGGCTGGCTCGCCAAATTTCTGTAACCCGCCTCAGCTCTAACTGTTAATGGTTAAGACTGGGGGATACAGGTATGTTTATTTATTAGTGCATTAATTACCTTGTGGACCAGAAAATCAGAAGTCTAGATCGCTACAGGAGAAAGGGGTATTAGCAATATTGCATTGAGTGAGAGTAAAGGATTCACACAACCAACAGGTAAGTTTTAAGTATGTTACATTGTGTTGAGTAAAGAAATAAAATTGAGAATAAGAAAAAACAAATTTAAATTGTCCACATAACATGAGATATCAACACAGTTCTCAATAAACTCAATCACTGAATAATCACAGTCTCTGTTTGGGCGGCTCGCCACTACCACTGAGGTTCCCCTCTACCTCTAAAGAATGGGGGAAATCCCAGCGGAAGAAGAAGAAGTCATCTTCATGCAGATCTCAACCCAGGAATCCAACCAAAGAAAATAAGACCCGGCCTATAAAGGCCAAAAGAGGGTTATTTAAATATTCATATAAAGAAAATATCCTTTTAAATGTAAATAAATGCATATGAACACATATTTATACATATATATTGTAACATTGTTCCCTGATAATAATTTTAACTACTCTTTACTGTGCATTAAATGAACTGAACACATTTCTCATTATTAACATGAGACAAAATGCTTAACATTTCTTTCTCCCCGCCACTCACTCTCAGAGAAACAGAGTGGGGGTAAACAAAACACCGTAATATAAAACACAGAAACATATTTCTGACACAACATACATGAAATTAATGCCTCGTTAATTCCTATTAACATTAGCAATTGCACCTTCCAACTCCGTTTATCAGTCTAACTTCAGTAAAGTTTACTCACCAGAGGCTCAAGCATCACATATACACACACTCCGGGTACAAGGCAGAACACAGCTCTCATCAGTCCAGGTTTCACTTTTTGAAGAGACAGGGACACGGGAGTTCAGTAACGTATAACCTCAAAACAGAATTTAGCGGAGTAAATGTGGCTAATAGCACGGGCTAGCGCCATGCTGCTAATAAACACAACTCACGTTCTCCTTCGTCTGTCACAAAACACACGGTCCGCTAATCAAGAAGAAAAGCTTCGCTCTCTGCACCGACGATAAAATTAACGTTGGGAAGACGTTGGAATATTTGGCTCTCTTACACAAAACAGTGATATCTGCAGCAACAGGTTAGCATGACGCCACCTTGACGTTGGTCCGGCAGAGAGAGAGAAAAACACGACAGCACGCACACCTTGACGGCGTCTCCTTGGTAACGCTACGTTACATCACGTGAACTCCCAATGTCACCCGAATCTTTCACACTTTCAGAAAGGCACATTCACCACACTTTAAATAAACAAAATATTATTTGTAAACAGACATGAATAACCCGTTTATATTAATTTCTTATAATCTATTAATTTATTTATTGACATATTTAAGATTTTAATCCTAAATCCTATTTATTCACTTCGTGTAAGATTATTTTAAATCAAACTCTATGTATTTATCTGTCACATAGAAAATATGAATTTATTAATTTTTTGATCTAATCAACTAACTGATAGACTGGACTTCTAATAAGGGCCTAGTAACCTGGGTTACAGTTGGGATCAGTGTCCTCTGGTGTTCCAGTCAGTGTGATCACATTCTGCAGATAAAAAGAACAAACAAAGTTTAAAGTTCATTAAACTGGTTGTTCAAACAGTCTTCAGTCCAGGGGTCAGACTGGTACGTGAGCGTCCTTTAGTCTTTAAGTCTCCGCTGAAGAGTGGACCCATCATGGGCCCTTCGAGGCCGCCACCACGCTGATCTTCAAGAGGGTAACGACAAACATCGGCGATGGATACGACTTAAACACAGGTTGGACTCACCTTCAGGTCACTGAGCGTCCGCAGGGTCTCACATCCTGAGCTGTTTCTCCCTGTTCTTTGACTGCAGACATCTTCACAGCCCCCGTGAAGGGACTCTACTACATCCGGTTCACCGGCTGCGTCGGAGACTCTGGGTCCCTGAACGCAGCGGTGATGTAGAACGGCTCCAACGGCATGACCCTGGTCCTGGAGCAGGGGGACCAGATCTCGGTCACCATCTGGACCGGGAACAGCATCTTCGATCAGAGCCGACTCAGCACCTTCAGCAGCTTCCTCGTCTTCCTCTGGAGACCTTCAGATCTTTATTAAATCATTAATAATAATAACATCAAAATAAAGCTCAAAGAAATTAAAGATGTTGACGTCTGTGATTATATTATTGATCTTTGATCAATCACAAACTGATTGTGTGGCTTTAATCTTTAATCAGTTGTTGTATTTTCAGATACACAAAAAAATTGAAGGAAAATACCTGTTACAGTATTTAATTATTATACTTATTATAGTTATATATATAGTATATATAGTTAATAATGTTCTTTATGAAATATAAGTTATTAAATATAAGTTATGAAATATAAGTAATTGATATACTTTAATAAATATAAGTTATTAAATATTCAATTTCAATTCAATTCAATTCAATTTTATTTGTATAGCGCCAATTCATAACAGAAGTTATCTCAGGACACTTTTCAAATAGAGCAGGTCTAGACCGAACTCTTTAACATTAATTACAGAGACCCAACAGTACCACCATGAGCAAGACCTTGGCGACAAGGGCAAGGAAAAACTGCCTGTTAAAAGGCAGAAACCTAGGACAGATCCTCCGGCTCTAGGTGGGTGGTCGTCTGTCTCGACCAGTTGGGGTGAGAGAGAGAGAGAGAGAGAGAGGCAGAGAGACAGAGAGAGAGAGAGGCAGAGAGAGAGAGAGCGAGAGACAGACAGACAGACAGGTGCACAAAACATGGCAGGAGGCTCCACCAGGATCGACAAGAACCTGCGAGACGAGAAAGCACAAGAACTCCAGGGAAGAAGTGAAGTTAGTAACATGCATTAATGGAACATGAATGAGTGCAGAAAGAGAGAGGAAGGGAGGAGCTCAGTGCACCATGGGAAATCCCCCGATAGTCTAGGCCTATAGCAGCATAACTAAGGGATGGTTCAGGACTCACCTGATCCAGCCCTAACTATAAGCTTTATCAAAGAGGAATGTCTTAAGCCTACTCTTGAATGTGGAGAGGGTGTCTGCCTCCCGAACCACAAATGGAAGCTGGTTCCACAGGAGAGGAGCTTGGTAACTGAAGGCTCTGGCTCCTGTTCTACTTTTAGAGACTATAGGAACCACAAGTAGCCCAGCATTCAGAGAACGTAGTGTTCTAGAGGGGTAATAGGGTACTATGAGCTCTTTAAGATATGAAGGGGCCTGACCATGAAGAGCTTTATAGGTGAGGAGGAGGATTTTAAATTCTATTCTACATTTTACAGGGAGCCAATGCAGAGAAGCTAGTACAGGAGAGATGTGATCTCTTTTTCTAGTTCCTGTCAGTACTCGTGCTGCAGCGTTCTGAATTAATTGGAGCGTTTTAATGGACTTATTGGGGCAACCTGATAATAAAGAGTTGCAGTAATCCAGCCTTGAAGTAACAAATGCATGGATTAGTTTTTCTGCATCTGTCTGTGATAGGATGTGTCTAATTTTTCTAATATTACATAAATGAAAGAAGGCAGTCCTAGAGGTCTGCTTTATGTGGGAGTTAAATGACAAATCCTGATCAAAGATAACTCCAAGATTCCTGACAGTGGTGCTAGAGGCCAAGTTAATGCCATCTAGAGTAACTATATCTTTAGACAGTGAGTCTCTAAGGTTTTTGGGGCCAAGAACATACTAATAAATAAACAAATGAATGAATCTTTAAGCTTCAACACATTTCAGTATGAACACTTTTCCCAGCATTCATTGCGGCGTTCAAGCTCAGAGCAGAAACAGACAACAGCAGGACGTATTTTACAGTCTCAGTATTTAAGTTCTCTGAGGTTAGAGTTCAGAGACTAAAACAGGAACTGTTGACTGATTTTCTTTCGTTGTAAAGAATCTAATGTTTGATTACAGATATCAAATCAAAAACATGTAAATTCCTCCTCCAGCTCTCAGAATATAGATTTAAACTGATTAAAATGTTCCTCTGACTCTGTCTGCTTGGACAGAGCAACGGATCATTTATCAATAATAAGTTTAATCTACCTTCCTTTAGCTCTGTCCCTCCAATAATCGATCAATATACATATTTCAATCAGCATTCAATTATCTGTGGATGACATTACAGAAATAAAGCCACAGTTCACAGCCTTTATCATCTATGATGTAAATGAATCATATATTTGACTGCTTTAATAAGGAGGTTATTATTATTGTTGTTGTTGTTGTTGTTGTTGTTGTTGTTATGTCTGACTGAGTTTGGTGTAGGATGATATTTTAGTGTTGAGCCTGCTGTTCACTGTGTGTCCACATGAGGGAGCTGCAGGATGTTTTAGAATAAACCACAGAGACAAACCAACATGGATCTCAGAAGTCAAACAGACATCAACAAACTTTATTTCTTTAAGCTTCTCAGACTGACAGTCAACCCACCGGATGTTTCCTGTTTAACATTTCAAAATAAAAGTGGTTATTAGTTTGTCTTATTACTACGAACTGAAGATTGAGACTTTGTTAAACTCAATGTTTAACAATAACAATCAAACTGCCTCTCACTGTCGAGCTTCTGCTTCATATCTGCCTGCTGTTTCTCAGAGGAAATACTGAGTGAAGATCAGATCTCTTTTTGGCTCCACCTACAGGGGGAAGACGAGGAAACCGCTGAAGGTGCTGAGCCGCCCGTGATCGAAGATGCTGTTCCCGGTCCAAAGGGTGACCGAGAGCTGGTCCCCCTGTTCCAGGGCCAGCGTCATGCCATTGGAGGCACTGCTATGCATTTGTTGGTTGTCTTTGACAGCGAACATGTTGACCCCGTTCTTCATCACCGCTATGTTCATCCCTGAGTTTGCGGCGCAGCCGGTAATCCGGGTGTAGTAGAGTCCCTTCACGGGGGCTGTGAAGATGCCTGCAGTCAAAGAACAGGGAGAAACAGCTCAGAAGCACAGTTCTACGTCCAGCTCACTGTGGCCTCCTGAACAGGTGAGTCGTACCTGTTAAGGGGTTGTATGCATTGCCGATGTTGGTCCTCACCCTCTTGAATATCAGCGTGGTGTTGGTGTCGAAAGGCCCCAAAGTAACCTCGCCTTCAGGCTCGACGAGGGACGCCGAGAACGCCACCTTAAATTTATCTGCAGGAAGACAGACAGATTTCATTAAAGGGAATTTACTGTGCTCTCTCTATATAAACTGTCTTAAACAAGCCTCATCCTCCCTTAAAGCCCACTGTCTTCTGATTGGCCAACTGAAGCCTGCTGAGGGGCCCAGTCTTTCACCGATTACTGTATGAAAGCAAAACTTTATAACTGTATTCGGTGATTTTGGTGAAACTGGATCAGTTTTCCTTCTGACGCTCTCCGGCTGCTCAGCTTCGACTGTAACTTCCTCTTACCCGCAGTTTGCACCGGTTGAAGACGGGCTAGAGAGGACTGAGTAGTGCAAGTAAAGAAGGTTTACAGAAAGAAAAAGGCTGATATTCAGTTGACACTGAACCCTGTCTGATCAAATATTGTACATTTGTGATACGGAGTCATACATATGGAGTCAGGGAGTCGGAACGTCACACAATGAAAAGATCTAACATTAACAACTCCTCACAAACCACTGCAAGGCCCCCCACAGCGGCCTGTGGACCTCGAGGCATTGGCCCTTTTCCAGGCACATCTCCACTATAACAGGGCTACCCACTTGAAGGTGTGTCTTGGTAGAATGAGGAGGATTTGTGGGTTGCTGTTGGCTGTTCTTCCCTGGCTCAACGAGCTAAAGGGTGAATGAAGAGAGGGAGCAAGAACAAAGCAGTGAATCAGACAGAGTAAACGTTACTGTCTGATTGTTTAACACGTTGTTGGACCCATTGTTCATCTTGTCCTCCGTCTCTGCTCTGTAGCTCAGCCTTCAGACAGACACACAGACCTGAGATCAAAAGATCTCTGTTTGTTCTAATGTTTGGTCTGTTTAGGATCAAAGCGTCAGTTTTAGTCAGTACCACGACCTTCCTCTGGAGCCGCATGACAACAAAATATCTGCACACTGACAGGACAATTCAATTTTTGTTGTTTTAGGTCAACTTTGGACACCAGGTTGGAACAAACAAAGTCTCCAGTGGAGTCCAGCAGTCTTACCTCTGTCTTGAAGCTCTTTCTCCAACTTCTGCACTCTGACTGTCAGCTGCTCCAGGACTCCATCTTGTGCATCCCCAGTGGGAATCTGAGCACTGATCACACCACAGACCACCAACACAACCACAGACCAACCGGACATCATCTCAACTCAGCTGTACTGACAGCAGGAGAGGAAACACTCAGGTTATTTATGGGCGCTCGTGTCTGACCCCTGCACACAGAGTCTGTTGGACTTTAAACAGAAAGATAGAATTATTAACCAGTTCAATGATGATAAAAGGATATTGATCAAAACCAGAACTAAAGCTGTGGGCGGCACTCTCTACAGGGCAAGGTTGCTCTGAAACCTGTTCCAATAAAAGTTACCTGAAGATCAGCCATATCATTATGACCACCTGCTTGTACTGTGGCACCAACAGCAGCAGATCCTGTACGTTGAGAGGGGGGACCTCCATGGATCGGACCGTGACAAAGTGTAGTGAAGAAGACCGTACTATATATTATTACTATAATGTCTGACAGATGTGGAATATTTGAGTCTGAATGGATTTTCTGGATGAAAGTATGAATGAGTCCATTTAAATATGAATATACTGAATATTTATGAATAAGTATGAAGATATCGAATATAAAGATGGAAGCAATAATGTCGTCATTGAGCTGAATCTTTTGATGTTTGAATACTACATTGATAGTTGATCATGTAGAAGAACAGACGGTTTAAGCTTTCACACCACGTAATAAAAGTGTGAACAGAAGAACATGAGAGGTACAGATGGACTCTTCAGTAGAAACAGGAAGTGAAGGTCAGTGAGGATAGAGATTTAGTTTTTCAGCCGTTTCAGGAACTGTCGGCTTAAAAATAAACAATCAATCAGAGAGGAGTTGAGGAGATGATCTTCTGAGTCAGAAACATCATGCTGATGGACCCTTCCAATGTTTCCACCTTCTCTCATTCATTCTCTCCTTTTATTGATTAATGTGACTGAGGGAACCGTACAGGGGTCTAAGCCTCTTGGTCTCATCCTTACGTTACTTACCTTACTTTAAAGCCAGCAGCTCTCAGATTAACACCTGACTGATTACTGGACGATAGAAGTGCAGCTGAGGACACTGTCGGGACATTAAATCCCTTCATCTGATGCTGGTTGAGTTGTAGTTGAGAGAATCAGCAGTGAATGGGGTTGATTGAGGTAAGGGTTTGGATCAGTGTCCTCTGGTGTTCCAGTCAGTGTGATCACATTCTGCAGATAAAAAGAACAAACACTGTAAAGTTTAAAGTTTATTAAACTCATTGTTCAAACAGTCTTCAGTCCAGGGGTCGGACGCATACGTGAGTGCCCTTTAGTCCAGTGTGTCAGTCCTGTTGTCAGTCCCTTTTGTCAGTCGTGTTGAGAAGATGTCAGCTCGGTCTCTGTTCCTGCTGGTGGTCTGTGGGGTGGTCAGGGCTCAGGTTCTGATAGCCGGGAATGAAGATGCTGAGATTCTGAATCCTGAGAAGACAACAGAAGAAGATCTGAGAGTCCTGGTGCAGCAGCTGATGGCCAGAGTGCAGAAACTGGAGTCAGAGCGAGAGGACAGAGGTCAGTCTGCTGGACTTACTGACGTTACTCTGCTCCAACCTGCTGCACTTTATTGTGAAGGTTCCCAGAAGGAAGTTCATGTTGTCAACAGAGGCTTTTATTTTGGTTCTACGTGTTCCTCAATAACTGTCTGTCTGTCCTCCTGCAACCGTCTATCTGTCCTCCTGCAACAGTCTGTCTGTCCTCCTGCAACCGTCTGTCTGTTCTCCTGCAACTGTCTGTCTGTCTGTCCTCCTACAACTGTCTGTCTGTCCTCCTACAACCGTCTATCTGTCCTCCTGCAACAGTCTGTCCTCCTACAACCGTCTGTCTGTCCTCCTACAACTGTCTATCTGCAACCGTCTGTCTGTCTGTCCTCCTGTAACCGTCTGTCTGTCCTCCTGCAGGTCAACCTCAGGTGGCGTTCTCAGCCTCCCTCTTCACTGCTGCAGAGTGGACCCATCATGGGCCCTTCGAGGCCGCCACCACGCTGATCTTCAAAAGGGTGATGACAAACATTGGCGATGGATACGACTCAAACACAGGTTGGACTCACCTTCAGGTCACTGAGCGTCTGCAGGGTCTCACATCCTGAGCTGTTTCTCCCTGTTCTTTGACTGCAGGCATCTTCACAGCCCCCGTGAAGGGACTCTACTACATCCGGTTCACCGGCTGCGTCGGAGACTCGGGGTCCCTGAACGCAGCGGTGTTGAAGAACGGGGTCAACATGTTCGCCATCTATGACACCAGGGGCACGCACGGCAGCGGCTCCAACGGCATGACCCTGGTCCTGGAGCAGGGGGACCAGATCTCGGTCACCCTCTGGACCGGGAACAGCATCTTCGATCAGAGCCGACTCAGCACCTTCAGCGGCTTCCTCGTCTTCCCCCTGTAGGTGGAGACGGAGACCGCTGGAGACCTTCAGATCTTTATGAAATCATTAATAATAACTACATCAAAATAAAGCTCAAAGAAATAAAAGATGTTGACGTCTGTTATTATATTATTGATCTTTGATCAATCACACACTAACTGTGTTGCTTTAATCTTTAGTCAGTTGTTGTATTTTCAGATACACAAAAACATTAAAGGAAAATATCTGTTACAGTATTTAATTATTGCACTTAAATATAAATGTAAATATAAGTTATGAAATAAAAGTTAGTAATGTTCTTTATCAAATATAAGTTATGAAATATAAGTTATGTATATACTTTAATACATATAAGTTATGAAATATAAGTTATGTATATACTTTAATACATATAAGTTATGAAATATAAGTTATGTATATACTTTAATACATATAAGTTATGAAATATAAGTTATGTATATACTTTAATAAATATAAGTTATGAAATATAAGTTATTAAATGTACTTTGGTTCCACTTTGAACTATTTTGGTCAACAGGATGTTCAGGAAGTTCTGATTAGATTAACGAGATTCTCTGAGGACACAAACTGGATCTCAATCAGGTTTCTGTTCCAGACTTCAAACCTGAAACAACACAGAACCGATCCACTCCTATTGATTATTGGATTATTGGATTATATTCTCTTTCTGCATTAAAGAGTCAAACGTTAAATTATTTTATAGTTAGTTTATTTTCTTTAACACAACAAACACACAAACAATCCGACAAACTACACAATCATCAGAACAACAACTATATATAAAAATATAAAAATACTGTTTCTGTTTAAATAAAAACATAAAACAACAGAAAACTCAGCAGTAAGAGTTTACAGCAGCACTGAATGTCCACTGTTACACCAACACAACAATAGTGAATACAAATGTATACATAAAAATAATAATAATAATAATGATAATAATAATAGTCCTAATAATAATAATAATGCATAAAAATATAATATAAATAACACATGTAAACTAATCAAATAATACTGTTTACTATTACTGCAACACAACAACAAAAAGAGATTTATTGTTGACAATGGTCAACATAAACCTGGTTCTGGTCCTGGTCCTGGTCCAGTTCATAAAATCATAAGGTGGCATATTATTTTGAAAGAGTCATTAGTATCCTGGTCTCGGAACTGACCTCCGGGTCCTGTCCCCCCGCGGTGGCCCGGTGAGTCGGTAGGTTGGACGGATCCTCCGCCGTTACAGCGGGCGGCTCCGCGGAGGTCAGAGCCGGGGAGGATGAGCTCTGAGCGGCTGCTGCGGTGGAGGAGACTCCGGGAGAGGGTCCCGGTGGACCGGAACCGGAGACTTTATTCATATTAATGTTATTGAGACATTTACTCTGATCCGGATCAGTCACATTCATACCGGTCCTGGAGGTCGCGGCTGCCGGTTCCCCGGTGCGGGTCAGTGCGGGTCCGGGTGTGGGTTTCCAGATGAGACTGTAGTACACAGCCAGAACCACCGCGGCCAGGGACACGGACAGGACGTAGACCACCACGGTGGTCAGTCGGACCCACTTCTTGTTGGCTTTGGCCACCAGCTGCGCCTTCTTCTCCCCGGTGTAGGTGGCGGGTCTGCCCCGCTCCAACGGCCCCAGTGCGGGGGTCCACGTCCGAGGGTCCCGCAT